GTCACATTCTTAAAGGTCAACGGGTAATTTTTCGTGAGACAAGATATTGTATCCATAGCAATTTGGTCAAAGAAAAGCAAGGAAAAGGTGTTCAAGTTAAGAAGCCACATAGTGAATGTTTAAGAAATACTGGCTGTTTGGCAACAATTGGATTTCGTATTGAAAAACGTTATTTAGAAAGTCACATTCTCTTGAAGTATCTCTTCACTTTACTCATAACCATGTTCCTAAATCTGCTATATCATTAAGTTTTCGTCCTGTAAATATCCAAACAGAGGAAGAATATTTAAAACTGTTTCAATATGGGCATACACCATCAACTGCTCGTTATGAATATGAAGAAAAGCTGCATTTATTAGCTGATAATGAAGATCATTTAGCAACTATTTTAGCTGATCGTGCATTAAATCCTGATAGTGGATATATTATAAGTCTTTATAAAAAGTTTCACTTAATTCAACTTGGGGCACGAAATGGAAATAGTATGTTTAAACGTCTTGAAAATGAAATCAACAATTACAATGAATTAGGATATGGTAAAGCTATTTTCCATTCATTTGATAAAAGAAAAGATCAAGCATTTGTTTTATGCATAGTTAGCAGTTTGATGCAAAGAATCCACGAAACTATTAGACAAGCAGGAGAAATATGTTATATAGATGCATCATCATCTTTTGATTTATTAAATACTTCAATAACTCTGTTATATACAAGTTGTGCTGTAGGGGCATTGCCTTTAGGAATTATTTTAACATCTAGTGAATCAGAAGATACACTTGAATTCGCATTTAATTTTTTAAAAACAATATTACCTAAGAAGGCATTCTATAATAGAGGACCAGAAGTTGAACCAAGCATCATAATTACTGATGACTCTTATGCTGAACGAAATGCACTTCGACATTGTTGGAATCAAGCAAAAATTTTTCTCTGTGTTTTTCATATACTTCAATCATTCTGGAGGTGGTTGTGGAATACTAGCCATCATATTCACAAAGATGATCGGTTGTTAATAATGCAACATATGAAATCTATGGTATATGCATCAATGGAAACTGAATTAGTAAATTTATTTGAAATTCTACAACAACAATACTTTGCAAAATATCCAAATTTTGCTATATATGTTATTCGTTATTGGAATAGAAGACATGAATGGGCACTTTTTTTTCGTATCGGTTTACTAATACGTGGAAATAATACTAACAATTATGTGGAGAAAAGTTTTGGATTATTGAAAAATATTGTTTTTAAACGTACACAAGCCTATAACATAGTACAAATTTTTCATTTTATTACTACCAATTTAGAACGTTTTTATGAGCATCGTCTTCTAGCTATTTCAAATCAACATCCTGGAAGAATGCATATTATGAGAAAATTTTTATGCTCTGAGTACAAGGAACTTAATATTGAAGGTATTCAACGCAGAGAAGATGGCATTATATTTGATGTACCTAGTACTACAGTAGCTGGAACAATCTATATAGTCGACCCAACTATTGGAACTTGTTCTTGCTTTGTCGGTATCTCAGGATCTCCCTGTAAACATCAAGCAGTAATTGCTTTAAAGTTTCAGGAGGGGACATCAAATTTTATTGATACATTTACTATTAATGATCGAATGAATTATTTTTATATTGCAACTGATAAATATTATTTTATTATATGTATTACTAATATTATTTAAGTATTAATAACTAATCTATGTTTTAGGTTCATTAATTCAAGAAAGATCATTTTATGCCTCTTTACATTCATGAACAAATACAACATCTAATGACAATACAGTTGATCAATTAAAAGTTCAAGAATCTGCAATTTCAAAATATACGTCAAGTATTGAAGTTATTAGTGAAGAAATTAAGTATGTAGATTAATATATATATATTTAGCAATATTATTCAACTTCCCAATACGTAGTTATTTTCTAATAGGCTATCTAACCTATATTATGCAGCATAACAATTTAGTTGCAGTTATGTTTTGTTAATGCTGTGATATGTAGCGGTTAAATAGCCTGTTAGAGAAATATTTTAGAACTTTAATGAAGAATTTTTTTTATAATTCTTTATTCATTTTTTGTTTATACATAGTATTATAGAAGATACAAATAGCAATGAAGAGATAAATCGTATTGAATCTATGACTAGTTTCTTTTATGAAATGTAAACTGATATTAAACAAAATACACAACTTCTTTCAGCTTTTAAAAAATTTCAAAAAGGGTATTGTGCTGCAAAAAATCTTTCAGAAAATAAGTTGGTTTCATTTGTCTACCAACATGCAAATAGTCCTATAACAGTTCGAAGTGGTATGAAGATACCTGTTCAAGTAGCATCAGTACAAAGAAGAAAAAAGGTTGCATCGCATAGTACAAAAAGAAAAGCTTCAGGAAGAAAACCATTAGAAAGTAAAGAAAATGAGGATCCGCATGAAATGCAATCAAGAAAAAAAAGAAAAACAATACGAAAACCACATAATTTAGTACAAAATATTGATGATAAAGCCAATTAGTTGTAATTAGCCCTTTACTTTTTTTATAAATTTTTCTATTACAAATTTAAGATGTATTATTGTTGTTATTGAAACAACTATAGAACCCAAATAAATAATACATAGCTCTCTTTTGCTTTATAATAATATAAACTGAGAATTGGGTAATAGTTCTGAGAAGTAACTTTGAAAAATTTTAAGCATAAGAGTAGCACTCTAATAGCAATAAACTTTTAGAAAATATACAACTTAATATATTGAATTTACAAAAAAAGTGTTAAAATAATAATCTGGCTAATTGTTAGGTTACGTAAAATATGTGCAAAATATGCATGTATAGTCTATTTAAATCATGTCGATATGAATATTATATACAATACCAATACATATTGATATGTTATATATGTTTTTATGTACAAATATATTTTAACATAACGATAACACTTAATAATTTTACACTTAACTAATCTTTCATAAAATTGTTCAATATTAATATCATTATATCATTTAAATATTATTAGAGTTTATATAATCTAATTAAATAATCAAATTACACAATAATACTAACCAAAATTTATAATGTTTGGTACTTAATGTATTTACAACGTAATCAATATGAAAGCTAAATTACTAATAAATTTTTTGAATGCTACTATCGCTATATATTGTTTTATATATTTTAATAGCATGTTGTTTTATTTTCTATATAATTTGGTGTTACATAATCTGCAATATGCATAACCGAGCACAGAATTTTTAAATGCATTCGAAATAGTATAACCAAGATTACAGAATCTGGATCCAACCAATAATCTTAATGTTAACTGATACAGATCTAGTATTTTCAAAATCATTGTCTGTGGGATTCGAACTCTAGACCTGCTACCTAGAGGTGCAACAACTCCACCACTTCACTAAGTCACCACACTCTTATTAATTTTTTTATATATTAACTTAACAATCTTATATATACTATCTTTTTACACTATTCTTTTAATTTTTTACCTTTATTTTTTCTACTTTATACTTAAAAGTCTTATACTAATACTTTTAATTTAAGCTCTAAACCTCTTTAATATCTTTTACTCTAATTGTTTTTAACTTATTATATAAATACTTTTGATTAACTATATTACAAAATATAAATTCTCTATTGTACTACCTTTTTTTATTAAAAAAAAGTGCACCAAATTTTCTTAATCTAACTCTAATACAATATCTAATCTGTCTTTACTTTTTTTAAACAAAAAAAAAAAATAAAACTAATTATATTTATAATTGCTTTTGCAGCTTTGCTAATCTATTATATTCTGAATCTAATACTTGCTCTTTTCTAGAACAGATATTTATTAAACTTATTATCTGATCTACTATATAAACTAAATACAGTATATCTATTAATAATATTTTAACTATTCAAATCTAAATAAGTCTTGATTATTCTAGCATATTTAGATTGCAAATAATTAGTTTAAGCTTTTAGTTTGAGTTTTTATTTTTGTATATAATTTATATTAATTTGTTCTTATACAAATTAAGTTTTTATATAGCTGCTATATAACTGTTTAAATAAATTAATTAATAAAAATATAAGCAAAATCTTATTTTAATACCAAAAAAATAAAAATAATAATATAATATAATATTGATTACTTATAAAAATTAAAACTTTACAATATAAAAAGAATATATCTTTAACTTTTTTATATTAAGTTAATTGATCTTGTTAATTAATTAAAAGTTATAGGGCTTGTTAAGCTATTCAATAGTAGTTAAATTATCTAAATCTGTCTAGTAAATACTGAGATATCTTTAAAAAATATATTAATAACTATATAAATTTTTAAATAAACAATAATATTATTAGTATAGTAACTTAGTAAAGTGGTGAAGTTGTTGCATCTCCAGATAACAGGCCCAAAGTTTAAATCCTACAGATGATATTTTTGAAAAATAAGCTTGCATTATAGTAACAATTATTACTAATCATTTGAGTTTCAAAACCTGTAATCTTGGTAACACTATGCTTATATAGGAGCTTCAATTTATAAAAGGCCAAAAAACTAGTGATAATTGAAGCCTGTTTGGGAAGTTCTAAGGAAAGAGTAGCAGTAATCTTTGATAGTGCTACAGGAAGACTAAATTTGAAACTAGAAACCAAAATCAAAGAACTAAGTAACTAGGTTCTTAAGTAGAGAAACAAACTAGCTGAACCACCAGCTTGTCACTAGAAAAAAAGAACTTGTGTTTTAGAAGTATGTACCAAGAAGAGAAAGTTTATAAGGCACCTAATATCTGAGCAGACTAACCCTTCTGAATTGCTAGCTATAAGTAAAGGAGAGACTGGTAAGGAATCCAAGAAAGAAAAAAATTAGAACATGGATATCAGGGTTATTGTGAACTTTGCAAGGGCAAAAAGTATATAATGAGAACTAATTAGAATGGTTGTAGCTTAAAATACAGATTAGATTATGGTAGTATCTGAAAAAATAGCTTGAGATATGACCTTGTTGGTAGCAGTACAACAAGTACTAATTAGTGAAAGTTATCAAATATATAGGTAAATATATATATAGAATATGAACTACTCTGTTAGATTTATTACAAGAATAAATACCTTTCTAAGAAACTAGTTTAATTGTAGCTAAAGTCTTAGAAACTTTAATAACAAATTATCTTAAAAAGATATATTAAAAAAAAATTTCATAGGGATTAAAGCCAAAGAGCTTAAATAGATAGCTTTCTAGTTAGGCTATAGGTATGATAGCTAGTATAGAACCTTAAGATAAACTACTTAAATTAGACAACCAAAAGTTGTATATATGGCTAGTTGTATTTTTATAATACTACTATAACCGTCACATATGATTTTTGGATTAGTAAACCCTGCTTGTACTAATAAAGTGCCAAGAGTCTAAATAGTCATCTTGAATATTAAAAAAAAATTAATAATAATAATGTTTATATAAAAATTTTATATAGTTATTGACATGTTTTAAAGGTATATTATATCTTAGTATTCTCAAGACAAATTTAAATAACTTAACTGCTATTAAATATATTTTAACAAGCCTTGCATTTTTTAATTAATTAATAAGATTAATTATCTTAGTTGAAAAAAAGTTTTAATTAAATAGTATTAAAAAATCACTGTATTTCTTGTTTATATAATGATTTGCATTATATTACACTATAATTATATACCAAATAACTAGCAGATTATTAATTAAATATAAAAATTAAAACTAATCTTTTTTATTATTATATTAAGGTTTGTTATATTGAAGTTATACTATATTATACTATTTGATTTGTTTTATAAAAACAAATCTAATAGTATAAAAATTACTAAATTTTACTCTCTGAATTATAAGATATTAATGATTATATAATCTTTTATTTTGTTTATATTGTTTAATAAATTTCTTTATTTTTATTTTTTTTTTTTAATGTTTAAGGTGAGACTATGCTCTTATCTTTATTAGTCTTAATGAAAACTTTTTACATTATTGGAAAAGGTTTTATAACTTAAGCCTAGTACTA